ACAAGTTCAATTTAACTGTCATGTTAAAACACCTTGAATTTGCGGGATTTTCTGTTTCCAGTTTCTAGTTTTAGTATCTTCAAAACACCTATTTTTGAAGTCCTATTATTTTTTATGATTCTAGTAGTCCTTGATTTGGAAAGTGTATCTCAAGGTACATACGGAAGTTGTTCAAGTTAGCCATTGTAAAATGCACAGTTTAGTGGCATCAAATACATCCAGGTTGCAGTGTAAACAATCTCCAGAACTTTTAATCTTGCAACATTGAAACTTTGTATCCATTAAAGAACAACTCTCTTTTGTTTGTTTGTTTGTTTTCTTTCGAGTTGGAGTCTCACTCTGTTGCCCAGACTGGAGTGCAGTGGCCGCTCCCGGCCACCGCAGCCTCGACCTGCTGGGCTCCGGCAATCCTTCCGCCTCAGCCTTCCAAGTAGCCGGAACTACAGGTGTGTGCTACCACGCCCGGCTAATTTTTGATTTATTGTAGAGATGAGGTCTCATCAAGTTGCCCAGGCGGGTCTCGAACCCACGGGCTCAGGCAATCCACTCACCTCAGCCTCTCAAAGGTGTGGGATTACAGGCTGAGCCACCGAGCCCCCCCCCCCAGAACAAGTCTCTTAACCCTCCAGGTGGCCCACACCTGTAGTCCCAAATGCTTGGAAGGCTGTGGCAGGAGGAGTCCTTGAGCCTAGGAGTTCAACGCTGCAGTGAGATGGGCATGGTAGCCCATGCCTGTAATCCCAGCATTTCGGGAGGCTGAGGTGAGAGGATTGTCTGAGCTAGGGTTCGAGACCAGCCTGCAACTTGGTGAGACTTTGTCTCTACAATAAATGAAAAAAAATTAGCTGGGCATGGTGGCGTATGCCTGAAGTTCCAGCTATTTGGAAAGTTGAGGCAGAAGGATCACTGAGGCCAGCAGGCCAAGGCTGTGGTGGCTGTGAGCATGCCACTGTACTCTACTCCAGCCTGGGTGACAGTGAGACTCCAACTCAAAAAGAAACAAACAAAACAAGGCTGCAGTGAACCATGATAGCACTACTACACCCCAGCCTGGGCGACAAAGTGAGACCTTGTCTCTAAAAAAATAAAACAACTCCCCATCACTCCCTTACCCCAGTCCCTGGCAACCACTATTCTACTTTGTTTCTTTGAGTTGATTATTCTAGATCTCTCAACCTTAATATGTGTGGAATCACACAATATTTGCTTTGCTATCATTGACTTATTTCACTTAGTGTAATGTCTTCCAGGTTCATACATATGGTAACATATGCCATAACCTTATTTTTAAGGCTGAAAAATATTCCATTGTATGAGTGTATACCATTTTTGTTTATCCATTCATCTGTCAACAGACACTTGGGTTGTTTCCACCTTTTGGCTATTGGGAACAATGCTGCTCTGAACACAGATACACAAGTAGATCCTACTTTCAATTCTTTTGCATATGTGCCCATAGTAGGGTTGCTGAATATTATGGCAATTCTATTTTTAACTTTTTGAGAGACTTTTGTCTTTCATAGTGGCCACACCATTTTTTATTACCACCAACAATGCATATGTGTTCCAATTTCTCCAAATCCTTACCAATACTTGATATTTTCTGAGTTGTTTTTTAAAAAATATAATAACCATCCTAATAGTGTAGGGCATGTTGCTTTGAAGATGCTTGTGGAACACCCAGGTAGAAATGTCTAATAAGCTGTTGTATGCATGATTCTGGACTGTAGGAGAGAAGTCTGGTAATTTGAAATCACTTGTAAATGAGTGTACTTCAGATAGATTTAAGAGGTCACGAAGAAGAAAGAAGACAGTGGGGGTGATAGAGAGGGCTCCGAGCAACATTCCTGGGTGGGCAGAAGACGTGAAGCCAGTAGTGGAGTCATGGGGGAACAAATTTCAAGAAGGGCTGAGAGGTCAACAGTGGCAGGTACCGGAGAGGGAAAACAGAGACAAAAGAGAGACAAAATCTGAGAAGAATCCATAGGATTAGGCCTGCACAGGAAGAAAGTGCAGTCATGACAAAGGAGCATCAGGGAAGAGAGGGTGTCAATGGCTTGGGGACAATGCAGCTTCTAGGAGCTCTCTCTATAAGGCTGGAGAAAAGGTGGAAGGGAGTGGGCAGGGAGAGGTCACCTTTAACTAAAAAGGCATATCCAGGCAAGGGACCCAGATTGTGAGCAAGGAAGGAAGAGGTCTCTCTGAAAACAGTCACTCTGCAGTGGTTATTAGTGATTTATGAGCTTCTCCGCTGTGGAAACCTTTATTTTCAAAGCTGAACTCAAAAGCTACCACCACTATTAAGCCAATTCTAATGCACCAAGTATTATTCACCAGGTCTAAAGCTTCAGGTCAGAGAAGGAAGCTCCTTAGCAAAACGCAGCTGGTTTCCTCATGAAGCCACCAAAGAGCATCATAGGCTTGTAGAATGATAAATAGAAGAACAGACGAGACTATGAACAATTGCCTTACAACACTCCCAAGCCGTATGTAAAACTTTCATTCTTATTCCTTTCAGCCAACACCAAGAAGATCTCCCAAGTGTCAAGTCCAGTCCCAAGCCATGCTAGGACTGGACTTGACATGTGACACTGTTTGAGGGAGCACTTGGCCTTGTGAAGAGTCCAAGGAAAACAGATGTAGAGTCAAATAGTTACTACACACGGTGACAGACACATGCCATGACAGCACAGGGCCTAGAGGAGAGGGCTAGCTCTGTCCTACCCACCCCACACTTCTGATCTCATCTGCATATTCTCACTCACTATACTCAGACTACACTTGGGCTTCCTCAACAGGCCAAATATGCATGTGCCTCAGGGTTTTTGCACTTCCTGTTCCTCTGTCTTACTTCCGCTGTCCATTTGGCTCCCTTTTATCACCTCATCGGAGGCACTTTCCCTGGCCACTCCACTCTGGGTCTCTTTATATTGCTTGCTTTTCATACTTCCTATCATTAAGACATTTATATGTGTACTGTCTGACTCCCTCTTTAAAATCAAATATCCAGGAGAGGAAGAACTTTGTTTTAGTCACTGCTGAATCTACATAGCCTAGTTTTCCTAGCACTTGGAAGACTACCATAAATATGTATCTAATACATAAATATATACATACATAGGATTCAGGACAAAATAGGATTCAGGAAAGATTTCACAGGGGAGATTATACCTCAACAAAGATTAGAAGAATACAACGTGTTATTCTAAACAGATAAGGGAGCTGGAAATAGCAGGTAGAAGTGCGTTCAAAGGTACGGAGGATTAAAATCACACGGTTTGTTTAGATACTGAGAGGTGGTGTGGTGTTGATCCGGTGTAAACACTTCATTGTGCCTGTGTTCAGTGCATTCACCTTCTCCCCTGTAAAAGAGTTGTTGACGCCTCATCTTTCTCAGTAGAGAGCTCTTTAAGGGCTGGGACTATGTTTCACTCATGTCTTCATTGTCCAGCTTCTTAAACAGAGCAGATATTCTGTAACTGCTAAATAAACAAATGAAAAACAATATTGATTCATTAGAGAGCAAGAAAACACATTGATTTGTACAATCAAAATGGATTTCCAACTACTGAAAAGAGAGTGCCCCTCTTGAAATCTTTAGAAGGAAGCTTAGAGATCATCTGATTCAGTTTTTCCACTAAATTTCATCTTTTAGATGAGAAAACTCATAGAGGTTGATTGCCCAAGGTCATGCAACCTGTAAGTTATAGCTAAGAAACTGCAGTTTGACCCCATTGTATGCCATTTTTCCTCAGAAGATGTGCTCTAAGAGCGGACTGCAATTTTGGCTTATCTATTAAAATAAAAACTGCACATGCTTTATGTCTCTTGGAGAAACACTTAGGTAAATCTGCAAGACGTTACAAGATCTTCATTGTAGTTATTTTTTTTTTTGAAAAATGAAAAGTTGAAAGCAATCTACACGTACAATGACAGGGAAATATCTATATTCACTTTGTGATAGCCATGCTATGTAATTTTGTGAAGCACTTTTAAAAGGATCTCGTTTGATATATACTAAAATGAAAAAGATCTCTAAGACACTGAGTTAAAAAATTTAAAAAAAAAAACAAGTTGTTGGGTGATATTATACTCTTTAAGACTCACCAACCTTAGGCTACGCCACCAAAACAGTACAAAACCCTCGAAGTAAATGTATAGAAAATGTCAGGATAACACACACGACACAGGGCTGTGCACCCGTTACCAGGGCAAAGTGACAAGAGTCATCTCTGCAGAAAGGGTTGTGGATGAGGCAGTCTTTGAATTTGCCAGCAATGTTTGAATGCATTTTTAAAACTTTAACAAAAAAATGCACTATTCATACATTAGGTTTTTTTTTTTTCTTTTTTCTTTTTTGAGCCGGAATCTCCTTCTGTCGCCCATGCTGGCATGCGGTGGCACGATCGAGGCTTCTGGGCTCAGGCGATCCTCCTGCCTTGGCTTCTCGAGCAGCTGGCACCATAGGGGCACGCCATCTCGCCCGGCTAATGCTTTAATTTCTTTCGGAGACGCGCGGTCTCACCATGCTACCAGGCTGGTCTCGAACTCCTGGGCTCACGCGATCCTCCCGCCACGGCCTCCCACGGCGCTGGGATTGCAGACGTGAGCCGCCGCGCCCTGCCTGGCTGAGAAAATTAATTTTTCAAGAAATGCAACACAGGTGATTTCTTCTGAGAAACAGGACCAGCCGGTGACGTCTCTGCATCAAGGCTGACACAACACGTGAAGGACGCAACAAGGCCTTTCGGAAGATCAAGAAACCAACACGCGGAAGGCGAAACAGACCCTGCGCCAACAGTAGAAGGCAGCCAGGACTTGCGGCCGGCGGGGCCACGTGGGGCGGG